AGCTCTGGAATCAACTAATTCTCCAAAGAGCCCTGGTTACTTTTATTAGAGAATAATATTTAGAAAACAAGATCTGGATGCTAAATGTACTTATTGCTACTGAGGTTTCAAAGTTCCCAGTCCCTTTCTGGGTAGAGTTAGGAAATAAAGGGACAACTGCCTGTACCTATTTATTTCTATGATTTCTAAAATAAGAGAGAATTAAGTAGCACACCTAATATGCTCGTGTTACTGCTGTCTGTCGGAAGTGAACAGAATATCTCTGTTTAGATTTATCCTTTCATCTTAGCTGTGGATCTCATCCCCTTGGGCTTTCATAGATGCTATTAGCCTCACACTGTGATTGCCCTCTACACATATCTTCAACTTTACCCTCTCTGCTGGCTCCCTTCCATTGTCATTTTAAAATGCTCAAATGTCACTTGGCTTGGGGTGGTGAACACACAATACAGTGTACAGATGATGTGCTGTAGAATTGTGCACCTGAAACCTGTATGATTTTGTTAACCAGTGTCACCCCAATAAATTCAGTAAAAACAAAGATAAAATAAAATGTTCACATCTCTCCTATGTTAAGAAAAAGAAAAAAAAATCCTCTCCCTCTTCCTACCTCCTCTAGCTACTATACTTTCTCTCTTTTCCCTGCACAATTTGTCTCCTTCCTGTCTCCCACTCGTCAATACATTCTTATCTTACTTTTGTCCCCACTAATGTATGAAATTGCTCTGACCAAGATTACCCTAACCTCCTTGTCATCATGTTCATTCATTATCACATTATCAGCTATATGTTAATAATTTCAAAAACTATATTCACTCTGACTTTTCTTCTGAACTCCCTTGCTAGCTGCCTTTTCCTTATCTTTCCCTGGGTATCTTATATGGTCCTCAAATTCAATGTGTTCCCATCTCATTTCCTCCTATTTCTTTCCCTTTCTTACGTCTGTATGTGGAACCTCCTTTCCTCTCACTTCCATATCTAGTAGGTCAGCAAGTTTGTTGATTCTACCTATTTGAAGAGCCTCTGAATCTTCTCTTCTTCTCCTCTGGTACCACCCAAGTCAAACACATTTTTGTCTACTCTGTACAATCGGTTTTTTTCTAATCAACTGCAGCCAAAAAAATGCTTAACTAATAAAACCTTTATTGGTTCCCCATTGCTAACAGAATAAAATCCAAATTCCTTAACTTGGCCTGCATCTCCTGCGTGCTTTGCCCTTGCCTGGTCTGTCCCTCACAGCCTCATTGCAGCGCCACCGGCTCCTCTCTTCCCCCTGCCCTATGGATTTCCTTTGGTGTATACTGAACACTCCTCTCCAAGTTCTCCTTTGCCTGTATAAAAGCTGTTAATTATCCTTCTAGTCTTAACTGAGATGTCAATCCTATGGAGGCCCTTCCAGATTGCTTCTGAGAAGCAGGTCACATCCCCTGCTGTGTTCCCAGAGCTTCTTGTATTTGTTCTGTGCTAGCATCCTTCACCCATAATGATTTTTTAAATGTCTGGTTTCTGCTGTAGACTCCAAGTTCCATGAGGGCAAGTTTCCTGCCTCCTATCTTTCTTTCTCTGACCTTTGCACCAAGTCCAGTGCCTGGCAAGTAGTGAACACCCAAGTGATTTTTGTTTAGTGAATGGACTAAATAGCTCCATATGACAGTAGACTCTGTTACTGTAAAATATGATCTCTCCTGCCTGCCACACCCTCCCGTAATACACTAATCTTATTTCCGGAAGAGGGATAAACTGACAATTTGACATGAAGATGGAATCCAGCCTGCCTACTGCAGTAGTAGATGGACATGTATTCTTACTCTAACAAGTGCCTCTGACCACTTCTTTGATTCTCAATGAAAACACTTCATAAAATAAAAAAATGTTGACTTGTGTTTCCCACTATTTCTGGGTGCTACTTTGTTTTGTCTGTCAGACTTTGTGCACAATAATGCTCTTCCTGTGAAGATGAATGCCAGCTGCCAACAGGGTTCAGAATTCTCATGATGCTTGCATGTAGCTTTTTGCACAGATGTGATGTTTATGATAAGAAAGATGTAATGATTCTAGGCTGTATAAGTCCTGTCTTCATTAAGAAAGCAAGTTCATCCTTCCCACTCTCTTTCCCTGCAAGTAGTTTGTAATTATGGCCAGATGTTCCTCATATGCTTAGAAAATAAATTTTAAAGTAAAAGATGTGCTCTTCTTGAAAGATAATGCCATATGCCATTACTTTTGACATTATGGTATTAGGAGAGGGAATTTTTTTAAGTTTGTCAATTCTTAAAAAAAGGTTTTGAACAAACTGTTTGACTAGTGGTAAATCTTGCCTTTTCTCTTTTTAAAAAAGTCTTTCTTGTAGGGACTTTCTTGGTCAATGAGACTAATAGTCTTCATTAAGTATAAGAGGTGGTGTTTTCCCTCATCCTAATCACACATCCCTAATACACCCCAACCAGGCAGAACACAACTAGCCTGCCCTTCTGCTTGTCGGCCTGGCCTGATGACAGCCTTGTCGGGCTTGTAGCCCTAAGTACAAAGTGTACTGGTCTGTGTTCTGGGGCTCCCACTACAGGGCAGCAGGTCCTGAGAAGGCAGTGTTGAACCTAGACGTGAAGGAGCCAAGCTAAGGAGGGAATGGAGGAGTACAGGAGATGTGGAAACAGCTTTTGCCAATGTTCAAGGGACTCAAGAAACTCCCAAGACAGCTTGTGTTTAGAAAGCAAGGGAGGAGTAGAACAAGGGGAGGCTGCAAATACAGAGAGTCGAGGCTGTATCTGATTGTTCCTTTCCTGAGTGTTCAAAGATGTCTGATGCTTCCTTGTTGCCCTCAGACTAAACCCCACATACCAGGTAATGAAGGCTCTCGCCAGTCAGTCTCATCCTCCCTTTAAAGCCCCTTTTCTGCTGCCTTCTCTGTTTCCCATGTGCCCATGTTTTAGTCATGCTAGGACTTTATCATTCTTCAACTTGAATGTTCCTTGTATCTTTGCTCTGTGTACTGTCTGGCTGAAATACTATTACCCACCCCTCTTCTCTACTAGTGCAACCCAGCTTCATGTCATGCAGTGTGCTTTTGAGGCCTTTCCTGCTCCCTGAAGTCAAAGTGGATGGCTTCTGCCTCTGTGGTTTGAGAGCACTTACCATTCTAGTATTCTAATTAATTCCATCCTGACTTGTCTGTTATGTATATGTATGGCTTTCTCACTAACTGTACGTAGGCACAGAGGCAAGTCTTTTATTTAGCTTGTACTTTTTTAGACGTAGATACAATAAAGGATCTTTGAATTTTGGTTGAATTGCATCAAAGAGATAAGTGGCAGTTGGTGATTTAAAGCATTTTCATCTGTGTCAAATGTCTCATCCCTAGAAATAAGACATTGAATGAAATGTTTTCCCATGTTCCTTGTCTCTGGAAGTGGTTTTGTATAACTAGACTCTGTGGGGAATTGTTGAAGCGCCCTGGATTGGGAAAGCAGGGTGAGAGGAATAAAACTTTCCTTCTTGCTACCTTTGTTACTTCAGCGTTCAGTATCAGGTATCTTTACTGTGACCCTTTCCACTTTGTGCAGAGCATCTATTAAGAACATCTTCAACCAGCCGACCTGCTTCTCTGCCAAGAGTACCTGCCATGGAAAGTGCCAAGACCATCTCAGGTAATGACTTTTATTTGAAATTTCTTTTAAAAAGACTTCCCCAAGTTTTAGTAATGGTATTGAATACTTTCTTTTTAGACTTAGTTAACTGTACTTGCCTCTTTAACTCAGGGTTGATTATTTTTTACTCCGAATTTCCCCTATTATATTTTTCTTCTTTAGAAATCATATGGCCCCGATTTTAAAAAACAGAAACGAAATAGTGCCATTCACTTAAAAAGTATTTATTAGCCCTGGCCAGTGTGTCTAAGTGGTTAGAGTGTTCGCCCGTGCACCAAAGGGTCACGGGTTTGATTCCCGGTCAAGGGCAGCACTAGGGTTGCAGGTTCGACCCCCTGGCCCCAGTCAGGGTGTGTTCGGGAGGCAACCAATCAGTGTGTCTTTCACATCGATGTTT